AGAGAAAGAACAGCAAGAAAAGCCCACAGTCACCAGAAGGAAGGAAATAATCAAGATTCGAGCAGAAATCAATGAAACAGAAAATAGAAGGGCTATACAAATTTGTAGTACAATTGGTTAAGCCATTCCACAGGTAATAGTGATCAGGGCCTGCAGCCTAAGCCACTAAAACAGCAATAGATACCGGGAGGGAGGCTGTGACAAGGGAAAGGAGGGATTGGGAGTTATAGGTTTAGGCTTAGAAACCGCAAGGCCACACACCAGTCCTGCCTGGCTTGACATCTACTATGAATGTCCTCAAAACTGTCCAGCCCTTTGGCTTCTATATATGTGTATTTCTAAGAGTCTCAACTTTTGACACCTGAAAGACATGCATAGGTGGGAATTTCTAACTGTTCCCCTTACCCTCTAGAATTTGGAGAGAAAAGTCTTACTGACTCACCCTGAAACCTTAGGAATTAATACTGTACACATTGGGTCAGGGTAGATCTGGTGGTAGGGAGGAATGGCCAGTCCCTAGGTATTTCCTTCAGTGGAGCAGTGATGCCAATAAATTGGCAGAAGAAGGGAGGTAAGGCTACCTGATACTCAGTTTCCTGCTCAGGCTCAAGATCTGACAAAAGCAAGCAGGAGGCATCATGGGACCAGGGGTACAGAGAATCACAACAGCACTGAGGAAACAGGAAAGCACAGTCACAGCAGGAACCATCCATGGTTACAAAAAAATGGACTGATGTCTCATAGAATACAATGTTTCTTACCCTTATCCCAAGGCATAAAGTACTGGTTATACTTTTCTCTAATATACCTTAGAATAAGACATAAGTACTAATATAAAAATATTTTCCACATTCTACCTGAAACCACCTGGCACTCCACAGAGGTCCAGTGCCACTTTGGCACATGCTGATAATCAGGAGCCCTGAGTTTCAAGTCCAGTCCTGACTCCACCTTCACCTCTCTGCATGAGCTCTCTGGGAGCCACAATCTTACCTTTTTACATTGACTCTAAGGAGATGAGCTTTAAAGCTGTCCTGCCAACAGTCAAGGCTAGCAAATTTTTGTATGGCTCTGGCAAAAGTACCAAGGTGGCATATAGGCAAGGTCCTTGTAGTTTCCCAGTTTCTGCTCTTGTGAGGGTAGCTACAGATGACAACACTACAGTATGTACCTGAGCAGATTGCCTAAGGTCATCTCTGAGTGTGTCAGCCTGGCTGAACATTTCTCTAACATTTCTGAGTGGGGTGGGCAGGCAATGGGAATGAATGGGAGTACAATGAGCAGCCTAGAGGCTCAAATGAATGAGACCAAGAGAAAGAGCTCATGCAGTATAGTGGGTGAATCAGAGTCAACCGTCTATCATAAGTCTGTGAACATGAAAACTGGAACAGCTTCAATGCCAGTGCTGGCTTTGAGGGCTGGGGAAGGTCAAGATTTAGGTGAGGGGTACGGAATTGACTTCCTAGTATCACTAATCCAGCTAATTTGGAAGTGACTCTGGGATCAGCCCTTACTCCAATACAACTCATAAAAAAATGTCTTAGTTACAGGGTATTAATTACAAAATAACAGCCAAGAGCAATCCTAGTTAAATCCATTGAGCTCTGTGTAACAGAGGCCACCAACTGTGCCCCAAAATCCATATTCCCCTTCATCTTTTAGTCACAGATTCCCTGGGTTTTAACTGGGCATATGACCACCCAGATAAGCAGCTACGTTTTCCAGATCCTTTTCAGCAAAGCGTGGCCACAGTGATTTGCACAACTCCAGATTCTATCCTTTAAAAATGAAACATTTTTTTTTTTTCCCCTTCACTCTGTCTCTTCCCCAGTGAAAAGCAAACATGTAACTTATTAGTCTGCTTTAACCTGTGGATAAGGACAACACCCTCGGTGTTAGCTGAACAAGATAGTAGGAACCCTGAGTTCCTGATGACCTTATATAGTTAAATTTGTCTTTGATCATCTGCCTGCCTCTGGACTATTAGGAGGAAAACATAAACTTCTATCTGGTAAGAGTCACTATACTTTTGGTTCTTTTTGTTCTACCACCTTACCCTATGGTTTAACATAATTCACAACAGATTGAAAAGATGCCAGAGAAAGACTTCAAATGATTCAGGTAACACTCTACAGAAGTCAATTCTCTCCAACAAACAGGTCAGAAAAAGAGAGCCTCCCAAAAATTCTGCCTTCTATCCTACCTCCAGGACACAGACCCAGCCACACCCTTTGAGTGAAGGAAGAGGCCTTTATTATAGCATAATCCAAACACAAAATGCAGCCTGTCCACTTGTGGGGTGATGCCAAATTCTTAAACAGCTGGAGATACAGACTACTTTCCCCACCAACACTAGGCAGGGACACCCCTATCCTATCTTTTCTTCTAAAGTAGAAAAGGTCCAAACTTCTCCAGTTTTCCTAATTATCATTCTCCAGGACAAGCTGAGTCCAGTAAGGCTTGGGGAGAGACAGCTGTTGGGAGGCTGTGTGTAGGGCCCAGGGTAGAGGAGTCCCAGAACAAAAGCCACAGCTGGGAACTGGAGGACAGACAGAAGCCTCCATGACTGCCCCCAGTTTCTGGGGGCTGACAGCCTGAGGGTGCACTACCTACTCTTCCTGGGGAGTCCCCTTGATGTCAGAGCTCAGCCAGGCAGCTGCCAGTCACTAACGAATCCCAGCCACTGGCACCTGCTGCTGCTTGCGGATCTTGTTGAAGAGTTCCATGTACTGTACCATAGTATCTGCTGGACCATACACAGCATCATGTCTGTTCCCAAACACCGTGGGAGCCCCAGGCGTGTGGGTGCCTAGAAAATTCTGTAGGAACTCGAGCAGCAGGCTCCAGCAGTCACTGGCTACCACACAGGGACCATACTCCACCTGGGGGCCAAAGGAATAGAGACTGAGGGTGAGTGAGGGCAAGGGTGAGGTCTCTTGCATCTCTTGAATCTCCTGCCACCTGCTCCCATCTTCCCCAACCCTAAGCCAAAGACACATACCTTCTACCACAGTGCTGATACACAGAAAATATTCAACCCAAATATGAGGAATTAGACACACCCAGTAGTGTTCCCATTAAGCATCTTCTTTGATATTCTCATCTTGGATTTGTGCCAACCCCCAGCCTTCCCACAAGCCCATAGGCAGATCTAGGACCCTTCAGATTATCTAAGGATTATGTCTCTGCTTTTCTGAGTAAAGATTCAAGTACAGGAAGATTCAGGAAAATTCTTGGAAAGAAAACTGAAAGAAAGAATATGTATGTGTGTGGGCAGGGAGTGTGGGACCAGTAGAGAGCAAAATATACAGATATGCCCATAACTCTCTTCAAGAGCAAACATTACTGGCAAAGTACACCTAGCCTAGGCTGTGACCTTAATAGTTTTACCCAACCAATGTGGCAGAGACAAAAGGATATACACCTTAGATTTTCTCATCTTCCTCTCTTAGTTTTTTATTAGAGACATTGGTAGAGGGAAATTATTCGTAACCATAAAAACAAACAGGTAAAGAAATAGCTGGAGTGTGTTTGTACTACAAAGGTAGAAATGTAGAATATAAATAAACAGGAGGTTTCTAGTAGGTCTTGGCAAGTCCAAAATGTATCAAAGCTGAAAAGGGTTAGGAAATGTGGCCCTAGAGGTTCCTGGAGTTTCAGAGCAATAAACTGCACTAATGCCCTTTCCCACATCTTGGATGTTTCCTACAACCTACCTGTTCCCATGCTTCTACCTCTTTATTTTTTTAAAATTTTTTGTTGTTGCTGAGAATATACACAGCAAAACCTAACACCAATTCAACCATTTCTACATGTACAATTTAGTGATATTGATTATATTCTTCAAGTTTTGTAACCATTCTCATCCTCCTTTTCTGAGTTGTTCCTCCCCCATTAACATAAACACTGCCCCCAAAGATTTCTATCTCACGTTTACAGTTGCTGTTGTCACTTTGATCCCATATAGACAGATCTTAAAACAGCACAGTGCTCAAAGTACACATTCTTTAAATTAAGCTACACTACTGTTTGGTTTAAAGACTTTTGGGGATGTTTTTAGTTTAAGGTTTAAAGATTATCTCAGAGCAATAGTTTCAGGGATTCAACGAAACTCGATGGCTCTAGAACTACGGTGTCCATGAGAATTTGAAATTCTGTTCTGCATTCTCCTTTTGATCAAAGATTCTTCTACAGAATGGATGGTGCTGGGCTACCATTACTGAACAATTTAATTAAAGATTCTTCTGTAGAATCTATAGCCTGGCACCATCCATTTCTTCTGGTCTCCTGGCAGAGGAGGCAGCTGTCCATAGACAACTTAGGCAATTAGCCACACATTCCACTTTCTCCTACTCCTGACTCTCCTTTCTCTGTTGCTTTAGGCAAAAAGAGACCAACTGTTGTGCCCTGGATAGCTGCTGCTTGCATGTTTTTAAGACCCCAGAAACTATGTAACGAACTAGGAGGAAAGAACCAAAAACCAAACCCATTGCCAATCAATCAATTCCCACTCATAGAAGCCCCATGTCTCTACATTTTAAGTCCTTACTTAAATTCTGGGGGATGGGGGCTGCTTTTCACTTGGGGGTGGCTGTTTATTACGGCCAGGGCCTGAGGTAGGCGGGGCCAGGGCCTGAGGTAGGCGGGCCCAGGGCTTCGGGGCTGCTCTTTGCTTTGGGGCAACTCTGTAAGGCCAGGGCCCAGTGGGACCAGGGCTAGGGGCTGCTTTTTGCTTGGGGGCAGCTCTTTGTTAAGTCTGGGGACTAAGGTAGACAGGCCCAGGGCTTGGAGAATGCTTTTCACTTGAGGGCGGCTCTATTTTTAAGGGCAGGGCCCAAGGTGCCAGAAGATGAGTCCATCAAGTCGGAAGGCACTCAAAGTTTGACTAGGGAAGAGCTAACTACTCAGAGTAGAGATGACCTTAACAATATTGATAGAATAAAACTTTTGGAAACTCCATTGGCTGATGTGGCATGACTCAAAATGAGTATAAACAGATGCAAACAGCCATTAATGGAACATGTAATGTACAAAGTATGAATCTAGGAAAATTGGAAGTTGTCAAAAATGAAATGGAACGCATAAAGATCGATATCCTAGGCATTAGTGAGCTGAAATGGACCGGTTTTGGCCATTTTGAATCACACAATCATATGATCTACTATGCTGGGAATGACAAATTGAAGAGGAATGGTGTAGCATTCACCTTCACAAAGAGTATTTCAAGATCTGTCCTGAAGTACAACGCTGTCAGTGATATGATAATATCCATATGCCTATAAGGAAGACCAATTAATACTACTATTACTCAAATTTACACACCAACCACCAAAGCCAAAGATGAGGAAATTGAAGATTTCTACCAATTTTGTAGTCTGAAATTCACTGAACATGCAATCAAGATGTGTTGATTATCACTGGTGACTAGAATGCAAAAATTTGAAACAAAGAGTTACCGGTAATTGGAAAATATGACCTTGGTGATAGAAATAATACTGGAGATTGCATGATAGAATTTTGCAAGAGCAATGACATATTTATTGCAAATACCTTTTTCAACAACATAAGCAACGACTATACACACGAACTTCATAGATGGAATACACAGGAATCAGACTGACTACATCTGTGGCAAGAGGCAATGGAGAAGTTCAATATCTTCAGCCAACACAAGGCCAGCTAGCTGTGGAACAGACGATGTTCAAGCTGAAGTTGAAGACTATTAAAACAAATCCACGAAAGCCAAAATATAACCTTGATAATATCCCTCCTGAATTTAGAGACCATTTAAAGAAGATTTGATGCACTGAACACCAATGACCAAAAACTAGAGGAATTGTGAGATGACATCAAGAATATCATCCATGAAGAAAGCCAGAGGTCATTAAAAAGACAAGAAAAGAAGAAAAGACCAAAATGGATGTCAGAAGAGATTCTGAAACTTGCCCTTGAGTGGAGAGCAGCTAAAGCAAATGGAAGAAATGACAAGATAAAAGAGCTGAACAGAAGATTTCAAAGAGCAGCTCGAGTAGACAAAGCCAATTACTATAATGAAATGTGCAAAGACCTGGAGTTAGAAAACCAAAAGGGAAGAACACACTTCTTCTTTTCTTTAAGCATTTCTCAAGCTTAAAGAACTGAGCAAAAAACTTAAGCTTTGAGTTGCAATATTGAAAGATTCTATGGGAAAAACATTGAAAAATGCAGGAAGCATCAAAAGATGGAAGGAATACAGAGTCACCATACCAAAAAGAATTGTCGCTGTTCAGGAAATGGTGTATGATCAAGAACCAGTGCTATTGAAGAAAAAAGTTGAAGCTGCACTGAAGGAATTGGTGAAGAACAAGGCTCCAAGAATTGACGGAATACCCATTGAGATGTTTCAAGAAACAGATGCCCCGCTGGAGGTACTCACTTGGCTATGCCAAGAAATTCGGAAGATAGCTACCTGGCCAACTATCCATATTTGCACCCATTCCAAGGAAAAGTGATCCCACAGAATGTGGAAATTATCAAACAATATCATTAATATCAGGAGCTCTGGGGGCATAGTGCCTAAGGCATTTGACTGCTAACCAGAAGGTTGGCAGTTCAAACCCACCAAGCACTCCTCAGAAGGAAGATTGGACAATCTACTTCCATAGTGATATCGCCTCAGAAACCCAAGGAGGGGTTGCTATGAGTCGGACTGGACTCGACAGGAATGAGTTTGGTTTGGTTTGGTATCATTAATATCACATGCAAGTAAAATCTTACTGAAGACAATTCAAAAACCGTTGCAGGTTTTTATCTATCTATTGATAGAGAGCTTCTAGCAATGCAAGCTGGATTCAGAAGAGGATGTGGAATGAGGGATATCATTGCTGATGTCAGATGGATCTTAGCTGAAAGCAAATACCAGAAAGATGTTTACTTATGTTTTATCGACTATGCAAAAGCATTTGACTGTGTAGATCCTAACAAATTATGTATAACATTGAGAAGAATGGGAATTCCAGAACACTTGATTGTACTCATGAGGAACCTGTACATAGATCAGGAGAATGTTGTTCGAACAGAACAAGGGGTTCTGAACAGAACCGCATGGTTCAAAATCAAGAAGGGAGTGCGTCAAGGTTGTACCCTTTCACCATACTTATTCAACGTGTATGCTGAGCAAATAATCTGAGAAGCTGAATTACATGAAGAAGAATGTGGCATCAGGACTGGAAGAAGACTCATTAACAACCTGTGATATGCAGATGACACAACTCT